ATTTTATATTTTTTCAGTAGGGAAAAAGGGGTGGCATTTAGCAATGCTTGAGGGTGTGACTAGTAATTGGGCCAGAATTGGGCCTAGGCAAAATTTTGCATATTAGACTCATTTTGCTCCTAATTTTTCATAGATTTGATTTAGCTAGGTCTCATCATCATATGATGAACCTAACTAAACCAAATCAAAGAATTTCAAAATAAATCATGGAGCATTTTGGAGCCTTGACCGCCTAGCTTGTGTCTTAGTTCTTGGCCAAAATTGACTAGTTCTTTCTTCAAGTTTTGAAGCTTGCCTTCCAAGTTTCTAAACCTTGGTAGGTTAGGCTGACCTTACCATGGTTCTTAAGTGAACCATGGTCAAGGGTAGCTTCTCCTACAAGTTTTATAAACCATGGAAGGTTAGCTACACCTTACCACGGTTCCTAGTGAACCATGGTTAAGGTTAGCTTCTCCTAGAAGCTACCTCTCCGTATAATTTCGTTTTCTCTTCACTTGTAATCACTTTTGGACATTTATGAGAATTAGAAATCAGATTTCTCTCTCATTTTCAAGAGTCAAATTCGTGAGGAACCTTCTCCTAGGTTCTCTCTCAAAGTTCCTTCTCCTAGAAGCTTGGTTTCTTAAGCTTCTTCACCTCTCTAAGAGGTAACCAAACCTCCTCAAAGGTGTTTCTCCTCCATTGAAGCTTCTTCAAAGGAGAATTCCAAGGTCAAAACGTGATAACCTCATGGAGCATTTTCGGTCCTTGCATGGAAGCTTGGATGAACATCAATCTTCACCAAGTGCTTCCATCACTAATAGACCAAGGGAGCTCGGCAGATGTCCTGTATTGGCCGACCTTCCTAAGGTTAGACATCCCTCACTCTCTCATCCAACCTCACACAAAGCCCCTAGTCGATTTTGCAGGAGAGCGAGTACACACTCGGGGATACGTGGACCTGCTGACTACCTTCGGGACCTCTCCAGATACAAGGAGAATTATGGTCTGATACCTCCTTGTGGAAGCCAACACCCCCTATAATATCATCATTGGGAGGCCGACGTTAAATCAGCTCGGAGCAGTGGTGTCCACTCCACACCTCACCATGAAGTTCCCAGGAAGTGATGGTAAAATCATCTCCGTCAAAGCAAATCAGAAGACAACCCGGCAATGCTATGCCGAAAGCCTGAAAGTCTCCTCGCCCGACGAGTGCCGCCGCAGCGATCCTCCCACCGTAGCTCACATCAACCACGTGGACATCGGTGATCTCGATCCGAGGTCCGACTCCCATGATGAGCGACCAAGTCCCATCGACGAGCTCGATGACCTCCAGATCAGAAAACTCCCGGGGCAATGCACGAAGATCAGCAGGCAGTTGAACCCGGAGTTACGACAGCAGCTCGAGGCTGAAGTCCTCAAGAATGCTGACCTCTTTGCCTAGTCCAGTGCCGATATGCTAGGTATCGATGCTAACCTCATCTATCACAAGTTAGCAATATATAAGGAGGCGAAGCCAGTAGCTCAAAGGAAGTGGAAGGTCGGGGGCGAAAGGTGAGAGGCCATCGTCACCGAGACACAGAAGTTGTTGAACGCTGGCTTCATCCGTGAGGTCAGATACACCACATGGCTGGCGAATGTGGTTCTGGTGAAGAAGAGCTCGGGGAAGTGGCGCATGTGCGTCGACTACACCGACTTAATCAGAGCATGCCCCAAAGACTCATACCCCTTGTCGAACATTGACAGGCTGGTCGATGGAGCGTCCGGGCACACCCTCCTCAGTTTCCTCGATGCTTACTCCGGGTACAACCAGGGAAATCGAGTTGAGATTGATTGATATTCCAGCAATAGTTATTATAATCTCCTAGGTTAGTATTGATCCTTTGGTGACTACGGAGATTTATGAACGAATATGTTTTTGAAGATGCAAAATGGAACGCGTCACATGTTTATCATTTGTTATATACTTCACTTGCTAAGAATCACTCTTTGAAACGTGAAAGGGAGTTACAACTTCCATGAAACGTGGCCTTCTTTTTCTCTTCAATTTACTTTTTCTAACTCCTC